AGGAGACTGACTGAGAGAGAGAGAGAGGGGGAAAGGAAGTCAGAAACACATGGTTTGCAGTGATTGCAGAAGTGTTTCTGTCTTAAATAACTGCCCTACTCCTTATACCTGTCTTCAGTTGGGTTGTGATTGGTTACATCCTGAAACACAGGTGGATTGTGATAGACCTGGGGAACACAGTCATGCAAAAGTCCAGTGAATATTTTACCGGTATATTTTCTATTAAAATATTTTTAAAACCCAGAAGTGTAAGATTGCACTGGAAGTTTTGATGCATTTTGATTCTACTCTGATCCATTAAGCATCTGAGCTGAATTTTGATGTATGGTCTTCCTGATATATAAGGCATTGTGTTGTTTTGTGGGTTCACTGTGTGTTTGAACAGCATGCCATAAAACGTGCCTAAAGCAACACTTTTCATTTTCCAGCAGGTATGACAACATTTTTTTAAAAGTATGTCATCCAGCAGTTCAATGCTAGTTTTAATTGGTGATTTTAAGAGGCCAAGATGCTATGTATTTCTGAAAGATATTACACGAGGTGTGGCTATTAAATAATGAGACTAATGCTGTCTCAGATTCTGTAAAGAGTTGTCTAAAGATTCGGTAGCCGTTTTGTTCAATTTCACCTAAAATCTCAAAATGATGTGTTGCTCAATTTTTGGACAACCATTTTTTATGACATACCAGAAAAACACATCTACTTCAAGCGGTGCGTAACAGCAAACTGAAGATGCGAACGGATTGAAACTTGCAGGGGTTGTTTATGCTTGCCCATTGGTCAATGCACACCACGTGGTTTGCGCATACGCGCTGTGGTTCGACTTGCATAAGCCCAGTCTCGTTATTTAAAAGCCACACCTCATATATTTTCCATACTGTGTATGAATGTGCATATCATTTGAGACACTGCTCATATTTCCCAGCCCATCTAGGGAAGCTCGTAACCTCTTCACACACCCGGTACACTTTCTGTCGGCTGCTTTCCTTGATGCTATTTCACACCCACTGCTTTAGCCTCTTAGAAAAGGCAAGTAAATCAGCTTGAACTGGATGAAAGACATTTCACAGCATTCTGAGTTATTAGTCATATGTTAATAGATATGCATTTAATTTAATCTGTGAAATTTATTTATTTATTTTTTTCAAATTCCGAATACCTTATCTTGGAAAAAATTAATTAAAACAGCAATTCAGTTTATACACGTCATGTTTGGCTACGCTTTGTCCAGGGGCAATGCAACCACTCAGTTTCTGGACATGCAACAATGAACAAGAAAAATGCATTGTGTCTGGCTACAGTATCGGCTCCATTTTTAACAAGCTTCTGGACATAGTAGCAGCTCGTCAAATTACAGAAAAGGCCTGAAACGCCACCTGCTTCCAAGATATATTCTTGAGAAGTCTGTCCAGGCTTCCCAGCATTCCTTGCATGAGCAGTTTCAGCGCTCCGGAGTGGCCCAATTTGTCATTCGGAAGAATGTAGTTCCGGTGGTGGGGAAGGTAGTTTAGTCATCATTAGGAATGTCGCCAGCATCACTCATGCTGCAGCGAGTCGAGAGCTCCTTGCATATGCCTACAACTGGGAATTGTGTGCAACGCTGCCGGATTCTTGACAGGTCGAACAGGAAAGAGAAGGCTGCATCGTCTGACAACTTACTCTGTGCATTTTACAGAACAGTTTCTGCAAGGAATTACAGTCCAATACTCCTTGCAGGTAATAAAAGGATAGTCACAAGGAACAAATTAAGCCAACAATACTATAAGTATTCCATAGGATAATTACAATAACAGATAATGTTAATGCTATGGAATGTTTATTTTTGGAATAATTTACTTTATTTGATAACTTTATATTTTTGTGTAAAGCCATACTAAATTGTGTAGCCTTTACTAATTTCGTGCTGAAAACATTACTTCCTCATTTTCAAAATGTAAGTATCACTACTCTAAAATAAAGAGGAATTGCATTCTCTCATGCACAGTGCACAGGTGTTTTTGGTTAACTGTTGGGTTTACCAATGCTTTTGATGGCATTTTTGTTTTATGGAAAGCCATGAAGCTTAAATACTACAATATAAAAATATATTTTTTTAAAAGTCTGTCAGCCATGTTGGCCTTATGTGGAATCCCTGATCATATTCACAAGCTGCTCACATTGCTGCAGCTTCCAAAGGATGTTCAGGGGAGCACAGACATGCACACGTCTTCTTTACACACAACGTGTTGCTCTAGCCACCTCCAAAATACCTCCGTCATTCACTCTTAATAGCTTGTGTTAACAGACCGCTGCATGTGGTGATACCATGTGAAAGAGTGTGGAAAAACATGGGTTTCCAAGGGAATGGCGTGTTCACTTGGGCTGGCCTTCTCTTCGAGCAGTGTTGGGGGTTGCAGTGATTATGAAATCTGATTGGTGCCAGCAGAAAGCTGATGGTATATTTGAGTTGGTTTATTATAGGGTGGAGCAATACATTGAGTTCTCCGGTATAGATAGATATGGGAACTCCAGTGAGGGGGTCATCTCACCTTATTTGTTTTGAAACACTTTGGATTTAAGTAGTCAGGCTTGTTTTTTTTTTTTTTAAACTAAGTCAGATTCCAGAGAATAATCATTCATCGCAATTTCATGTGCATCCAAATTTCCAGTACAGGCAACTCTCCCCTTCCATTTCTCAAATTTTATTATCTCTAATTTCCGAACATTACAGTAACTCCCTTCCCCCGTGTATTGCATTAGCCTTGAGTGGATAACTTTATTACAGCCACACAAAGTCAGTTCAGTGCTTCATTTTAATATGACCTGTATAAATCACTAAGGGGAAGATTTGTGTAAAAAAGTGAGACGGGCAGAATAAACCGAACATGCTGATAATGATACACCATGCCATTGGAGGTGGTGTGTTAAGAGACAATTTCTTTGCAAATATTAGGTTTCATTACATGCCTACATTGTATTATATAGTAAGGAGCAATGCATTCCAATTAGCCTACATTTACATCGAGGCCTTTAGCAGTCGATCTTATCCAGAGCAACTTGAGCCTTAAGCGTTAGGATTACAAGTCCAGCTGCTTAACCATTTCCATACACTACTGTCCCTATTCACATGATTTCCTTCTCAATAACCTAATATGAGCCCTGAAGCACCTGTACAAAATGATTGTCATGGACCAGTTAACCCATTCATGTGAGGAGGGTGTTGGAAGCAGGGTGTTGAAATGTTGCTTAAATGGAAATGGAGTGAGGGAAAGCTGTAGAGAGAGAGAGAGAGAGGGAGGTGGTGGTGGTGGGGGTGCTGCTGGGCATCTCCGAGGACTTGGATTGTAGAGAGAATTTAAAATACTGTAGACCTGTACTGGATAATAAAAACTATTGGATGTTTATTATAGATTGGAGGTTCAGCATAAACAGTCATAAAGTTGGAGTTTCTTTATGTTTCAGCTCAAGATCTTCATGTAGTGAATTTATTCCCAGAAGCTGGTATCTGATATTTTTGGCTACATGTATTGAAAAGGTGCTGAATGCCCCTGGTTCTCATGTAGCATGCAAAAATGCATACATTTTTCACGTACCTGTACATCTTCAAGTAATTATTCATTGATTAATATGCCTACTGGATCAACAATGTTACTGTACATTCATGGTACCCATTTATGTATTTCTTCATTGATTTATGCCAGTATCTATTGCTGCAAAATGGGGGAGTTTCATTTGGCTTGTCAGACTGCTAACTAACTTACTAACTAAAAGACCATTATCCTCACATGTTGTATCAGCTAGCCCGTATTCCAGAGGCTGTGCCCACAGCCGCCCAGGCAATAGTTGGAAATGTCCAGAACCGAGTCACCATGGTTACCAGTTAAATTGTTTACCTCTGATCAGCAGAGCCGAGCCAGTGCCAGTCAGGCCACGCGCTGCGATATCGACCTGCTAGTGGTGGGTTAGGCTCCGCTCGCTGCCACCCACTGATCTGTCCTACTAGAGGAAGGAATACATAAACAAATAAATTAATTAATGATGGTTTGAATGTATTCATATGTGCGATTTATTTCTGTTATGAGGACCAAACCACTGAAATCAGATACTGCCATAAGCATGAATGGATACATCCACATATGAACAGATAAATTGATAAATAAATTAGAGCCAGTGAGGCTAGTGGCTATAGTGTGGTCACATCAAATTTCAAAATTCAAAAAGTATTCAGGATGTTTTCAATTTTTCTTTTCTCATACTGTCCTTCATGTCTAGTTTCTTGGGCAACCAGCACAGAATCATATCACTATAACATGTTCAGCATGTCATTCTCAGTCAGGGATTCTCAACCCTGGAACTGTTTTCTTTTTACCTTGAAATCAGTACCAAGAAACTAGTTGTCAGGTGAGTTAGCTGTGGAGATAACCCATTAACTGATCTAATAAGAGCTGACTTGCAACAGAAACCAGTATACACCATGGCCGTGAAGGACGGGGTCTGAGTTTCAGCATTCAGGTGTTCGGTCTCATATCCAGAGCAGCTCAGGCACGGGCAGGCCGAGGTTGTGTGGTTACACTAATGATGAATTACACATGGTGACTGCAAATGATGTGGAACATTTATTTGGTAGATGAAATCTGTAGGGAATCAACGTATAGAGCACGCTCATTAATGATTAACTCTCTCCGGTGTGGCGAGGGTAATCTAAGGTGAAAGGAAGCCTACCTTCACTTCTCTCCCTCCTCCCTTAGCTAGCGTTCCTCTCTTTCCAGCTAATTGACTTTTATTTGGATTTTGCTTCGTCAGCTGTGCGCGCTGTTTGATGGGAATTCATTTTGCTAATATTGTCTGTGACAGATTCACTGATGCAGTTAAATGATGCCATGTAGCTGTCTGAGGGAGCAAAGGCCAATCATCTCCACATGCCCATGTGTATACACACACACACACACACACACACACACACTAACGCAGACTCACATACATAGTAACAAACAAGACATGTGCAATCTTCAGATGCGGGCAGCCTGTAGTCTAGTGGCTAAGATGCATGACTGGGACCCCTGAGGTTGGTGGTTCCACCCAGGGCTGTTGGGCCCCTGAAAACATGGATGAATTCCCATCAACCCTTAACCCCACATTTCTTCCAGGTTAGCTTAATCATCTGTAAGTTGCTTTGCTAGAGTGCATGCACAAGTACACACACAAACACACGTGCACCAATGCAAGCACACACATGGACATAGTAAAAAGTTATGCACGCAATGTTCAAACACACACACACAAACACGATACACAAACAAGAAACACGTGCGCTGGTCAAACATGCATTCCGCACAGTTTCTCACAATCCCAAAATCTAAATCCCCAGTATGGGCAGTCTTGTGTGTTTCATGGACCTTTTTTTGTAATGGAGGTCATATCCTCTCCAGAAAGCCTTGTTTGTGTGCAGTATGTGTGAACTCCCTCGAGGGCGGGGACTGGACTGGATAGGACTGTATGAAACCCAGTTAAAAATAGCTTCCACATCAGTGAGATCGAGGGCATGTGTAATTTCCCTCTCACAGCAGAAGCCTGCAGTTCACGTTTTTAACCATGACCGTTTCAGATTTGCTTTGTTGCTGATAAATCAGAAATATTAACTCTTACATGCTGGATTTGTCAACCAGGAGGGAGTGTTAAAAAATGAAAGTGATTATGGGGAGATTTAATTCACTTACCAGCCAGAAAATCTGTCACACAAAAAAAGAGGAAGGGTCTTGTCTCATCTCGGCTTGGGCACACAGTGAACGTGTAAAATGTGTACTCTCACCGCAAGAATCTCTGATAGAGCATCCAGATAACTTTACTTCTCTGGCCTTGTAGTCCTGCAGACTGATTGGTGCCAGCAGATTTCTGGTGATGGGGCTTGATGTCATCTTTGCTGGGGCTTTAAATGTCTTGATATCTTTTAATTTACCTCTGAGACACTGTGCCCACACACTCAAGACTTTCATTTAAATTTATTTAAAATTAGGCACTGATCATTTGTGTGCTAACTACGCTCATCACTGGGAGTTTGGCAGGGTTATCCTGATGTCAGGATCAGAAAGTATTCAGCCCCTACATTTATAACATGTGCACAGATACTCCAGTACAAAAAGTATGCGAAGCACCAAGCTAGTCATATAGCTTTTAGTATTTAGCTGTAACCTTGATTATCAGTGACCACAATTGGGATAAATGAAACTGGAAACAGTTAAGAGACACTGCGGACAGTTGCGATGTTTGAACTAGAAATAGTGTGTTGTGATGTGTTATGATGCAGATCAATATCTCCAAACATGATATTGATGAGGTTATAGATCTCCTGGTATGAAGGGCAGCGATGGATGTTTCATTAACCGTCTAATGGGAGCGGCTGCATCTTCCTCGCTGTGATTTTTGTCAAGAACAAAATCAGCGACTGACTGATTGCTTATGACAGCTTTCACAAAATCTCCTTCTAATCGAACTGGTAGGCAACATGCAGAAAAACATATTAACAGTTGTTGATTATTTGTGAAGGCCAGTGATTCTAGTATGCGTAGGACAATATTTAGACAGACATAACCTGTTTTAAAACTTGTACCACTTTAAAATATGTTGAAACAATGAGATAGGCCTGTTTAGTAATGTGACAGGCATGCAGCCTGAGCTGGTGGAATGAAGCATTGTGAATTCTGTTCGGTTACACCCCAGGCCGCTCGTGTGCACTGTGATTTTTGAGACCTGACACCGAGAGAAAAAGATCGATATCCAATGGTATTTCAACTTGACATGCTGGATTTACTTACAAAAATACAAACCATTTCTTATGCACAGGTTTGTTGCTAGTAATCATGACACATTTTGTAGATGTACATTTCTGGCATAATATTATGTTTTGCAATCATCTGGATGTGATACTTATGTATACATATTTCCTATACTGGGATTTGTTTTTTGCAACACATAATGTCACTTTATGGTTGCCGATGGTCAGACCAGAAGCATGGAGAAATCTCCCTGTTCCAGAATGAAGATGCATTTTATATTAAAAAAAATTGTGACAAACATTTGGAGGAATTCAGAAATGTGTAGAGATTGAAACCTGTGGGTGATTGTGAGTTTCCTGCACGATGTGGCTTTGTAAGCTCTGGACTCCCTTAGTGGCTCTCTGCTAGCCTTGATCTTGAAGCTGGAATTCTGCACTTCCTGTTCCTATTTCATTTTGTGGAGTCCCTGGACCGGTTTCCTTCCCTCTCGTCCAGAGCTGCTGAAGTGCTTGCCGGCCACACAGGGACTTGGGAGGTCCTTTTTGGAGGGGGACTTGGTTGGCCAACCTCATCTAACGCTAGCATTTGCAGACCAGCAAATGTAACTTCAGTAAAGCACCAGTGTACCTTATCTATGCTAATCCAGGCTAAAAGACATCTTATGAATGCAAAGCATACATCCATAATAACATGTCCATCATAAAAAAATCCTGCCATAAACAAAGCAGCATATGGAATGCAGTATATTTTGTGAGTGATGTAGGAGTAGATGTTTTTGGTAGTTTCCAGTGCATTTAAAAATGACTATTTAAGCTCTGCTCAGAAAACTCATTCTGCACTGAGTCACATGGTTTATGTACTTATCCCATTAACTGCCAGATGATTTAGGGGAAAAAAAATGCTCGCTAATTCAGAGTCATTTTTGGGAAGTATAATACTCATTATGCCAAAGGGAAATGTATTTAAAATATGATAATCCACAGAATAAAACCCTATAATCGCTGAATTCACCTGTCAGATAGTAATGCCAATGTAATGATGTTGAAGAAAATGTCTTCGGAAGTATTGATTCAGACTAACGATAATCCACTGTTTTGTATATTATAAAATGTCCTTGAAAAGATGTTTGCTGCCAAGGATATCTGGTAATGGCTGTAAAATTGCTGTAAAATTTAAATGAGAGACTGCACTGAACTGATTGTTGAATATTTCATCAAGGACCTTGAAAGTTTCTTGACAATATTTTTGTCCTAGATAAAAAAAAAAAAAACTCAAGTGGTCAGATATCCCAATGTTTATAAAATATTAATGAAAATGTCTCATTATTCATTCACTCTTTCATACATTTTATTAGAGCAGGCCACTGGGCTTAACAAGGCATATCATTGACCTGTCACACCTTTAGTATGAACGGTACTGTGTAAACAAAGGTGGTCCCGTTGCTATTATTTATTATACGATGCACTGCCATTGTGCTGATATTGTTGGTAAATTGCCTCTGGTATGTTGTGCACCATTTTGGCCCCAGTGACTGTGAATCACATTTAAACTAACTAGCCTCACTTGACTGGAAACCAATCTTATTCAGAGCCTGAATAAGGACTGAATAAAATTCTCTGGTGTTTCTTCTTTTCCAGTTAACCAGACTCATCAACAGCCCAGTCCACAGAGCGCTTCCTCAGAAACGTTACTGATGAGCTTGCAGAAATCAGTGCGTTGGTGAGTCCTAGACTTCACTGAGACAGAACAACACCTCGCTCTCCCCGTGGGCAGAGCCTGGTGCTGCCTACGTACTCTTTGTACCGACGAGTCCGCCTTCTTGTTTTGATGTCACCAACAACCTCTTCCAAGCCCATCGCCAGCAGTCACGTTGCCTTGGTCGCCTTAAGTTTTCCGCTTTTTCGGAGAGAACAAACGGGACTTTGGGGCGATGGGATAACCAAGTTGCCTTTAGTGAGGACACATGGTGACAGCCCAAGCAGGGCCTGTTCAGTCACCACCCTTCATGGCCTCCTAATGACACACAAACAATTTCAGATACTTATCTGCCACCCTCCCTAAGAAAGAAGTGTAGAGCATGCAACTCCTTGGACAATAAGCCGCTCTGTTTGCCTTAGGCGTGTGTTTGAGAATGCCGGTTAACAGCTTCAGCTCTGGGGTGGAGAATATTCTGGTCATTTTTTTCTACCTCTCCATTCCCTTAGCCTGTCACCGAACAGCTTCGGGCCTAGACAGTGGCCTTGCCTTACAAGTCTGAATGCCGGGAAATTCTGCGCCGGGAAGGAATCTCCACAAACCGCTGTGGACGTGTCTTCATTTGTTATACATTACTTTCGCTGTGCTCCTGGACACCTCTCCTGGCTGCTGTTCAATATTTAAGAGGTGGTGCCTTGCTTTTGGTCTGTTTTTGGCCTGGATTGACTCGCTCGGTAATCCCAGAAGCCACACTGTCCTGAACCCTTTTCATGTCGGGCTACTGAAGCTAAGCAGGTGTGAGCTTGGTTATTAGGTAGATGGGAGACCTCCTGTGAGGGCAAAGAAGCAGGTCTGGATGTGGTGCTAGTGGATCTGCAGGTGATACTGTGATTTTTTTCACTTTTCTGCAGCATTGCTTTGTATATGTGTCGTATTTTTTGAGTAGCCTATCCCTTGAAGAGGAAGTGCATGTGTAGTTGAAATATGGGTTGGGGGCGTGGAGTGTTGGATGCGCCCTGCTGATTTTTACATTTCAAGGTTGAGTTGGTGCAGATGGTCTCTCTCTCTCTCTCTCTCTCTCTCCCTCCGTCTGATCTGCGCTCTCAAACGCAAAAAGGGCTATCAAAGGTCATTCTACTCCCTATCTCAAAAAGCCATCACAGTTTGTGGCAGTTCTTGTTTAATGGTGAATGTACATGGGGTGTTAAATAACAATGAGCATGTTCTGTTCTGTGAGCACACCTGATAAACCGCTTTACCTGGGCATGATCTGCCCCTTGCTGTTCGATTTTACGACAAACCGTACGTGGAAGGTGTAGCTCCAGATGGAGCTGACAGTTCGGCCATTTTAGCCTTTGTCATTGGCCATCGGTTTTGCTGCCTTAAATCACTCTGATTGGAGCCCCAACCTATACAAGATTAGCAAGTGGCAACTATTTATTGTTAGCAAAGCACATATCCATCCAACTTGGATCAGTCTATTCAGGAGCATAGTACCACAAAATTAAGAGGTTATGAAAAGTAAGGCTAATGCTAGTGAAAATAATAATAGCTGTGATTTTGATGTACTCAAAGCTCACATTGCAAAAATATGCATGTTTTTAGACCTTTTGCACCTGT